CCTTACCCCCCCGTTCGGTCGGTTGGTCCCCTTGGGTCCGACGGTCCGTCCGACGGACCGGGGGACGGCCCCGTGCCGCGGAGGGCAGCAGCGCAGCACTCCTCCCCATGCTCGGGGCAGACTGTTGGGTCCAGAGCCCTGGTCCCATCGCTGTCGGTGGGGTGTGTGGGGGGGGCAGAAGCATCCAGCTCAGGCCAGTGGCCTGGGGAGTGGGGCTGAGGTGTGGGAGGAGGGGCAGGGACCAGGGGTTTTGGGAGCCTTCCCCAAGCCAGGTCTGGGGTCCCAAGGTGGAGGAAGGCTGTGGCCCTTCCTGTTGAGTGGGTAGCAAGCCTTTGGCCATCACCCAGGCCACTTCCTGCCCAGTTTGGGGTTGCAGCCCCTCTTTCTGCCAGCTCCCTCCTCGGACCTACATCTGTGGGTGAGGGACAGGTGGAATGGGTCAGTGTGGGAACAGATATCTCAGGGAAGACATCCTCTGCCAGGACCTAGGGGGTGCGAAGGGGAGGCTTTCAATGTCCCAAGTCCCCTGTGGCAGGAATGGTGGACAGTGGCGCAGGGGGACAGGCGGGCTTCCTTGAGGGTCCTGGCAGCGGAGGTCAGTGCAGGATGGAAAGAAGAGGGGGCAAGTCTCCCAGGCTGCTCCCTTGTCCAGCAGGGGCAGCGCTAAGTCACAGCCTCCCTGGGTAGGAGCAACCTGAGGCATTTAAGGGGGCAGCCAGGCCAGGTGGGTTGGAGGAGCTTGGTGTCCAGGAAGAAGGGACCCAGCTGGAGCAAGCCAGGGTCCTGGCTCCCAGACAGCTGCTCTGCCCCCTGGAGCTGTCTGAGGATGGCGCCTTGGCTGCCCTGCCCTCACACTCCCATTCCCCTGGAGGGCTGGGAGGGGGCCACCTGGGGAGGGAAGGGCCTGGCCTGACGGCTGACAGGGCTGGCTGTCTCCTGCCCAGCTGAGGGGGTCTGTCCCGAGCAAGACTGCACATGTATCCAGCCCGAGTTCCACTGTGGAGACCCTCAGTGTAAGAGCTGCAAGCACCACTCCTGCCCACCTGGCCAAGAGGCGTGGCCTGTAGGTAGGTTGCAGGTGGAGGTGGCCCAGCAGCTCTGGGGGTTGACAGGGGCCGAGCCAGAGCTCACAAGGGAGCTCACAAGGGATGCGAGCTCCTGTGGGCAGGTGGGCACCAGCACTGGGGGTCCTGCAGAGCTCTGGTGAGTGGGCTGTTCTGCTGCTTAGCACCTCAGCCCAAATTTAAGTCACAGCACCCATGGTTCTTGTGGCTTCTGGGCGTCCTCCCTTCCTTCTCTTGGCTTGGGTTTCTCCATCCAGAGATGATGTCCCTCAGGCTGGTTGTGAAGAGCAATGAGGGTGTCCAGGGGCTGTCTGGCCCTAGGGCTCTGGCTTTGACCATCTGTACGGGGACAGTTGGATGAGGCCAGGCCTGCCCCCCAAAGCCCAGCCTGGAAGGAGCAGCTCCAGTCCTCTTAGGGCCTGTGTACCTGATAGGAGGGGCCTGGCTGAGCATGTGTGGGCTAGGGGAGTGAGAACCAGGGGACTGCGTGAGGTTGGGGAGCCAGGGCTTAGAGAAGACTGTGGCACCAGCCTTGTCCCTCTCTCTGGGAGCCTGGCCTCCTGCCCTCCAGCCTACCCGGCCAAGTGAAGGCCCGGCCAAGTGAAGGCCCAGCCTGGCTGTCACCTGGCCTCTGCTTCAAGCTCCCCACGTCCCACCTCCTCTAGTCTCTGTGGGCAGGTCCCTCCCCTCCCCCATATCCTATCAGAGACCCTCCATTCTGCCCAGAGTCACAGCCTGGAAGGAGGCACACAGGGACCTTGTTTATCCCAGGCCCTAGTCCTCTGGGCGTCAGAGACTCCTGTCAAATGGGTGAGGCTGTGGGGGTCATTCCGCTCTGAGGACCCAGACACCGGATGGACCCCACCTCATTCCCCCCAGCAACCCCCGCAGCCTGTCTGTCTGTCTGTCTCCAGGAAATTTCAATTTTGGCTTCGAGTGTGTCGACTGTGCCTTAGGGACCTTCTCTGGGGGCCACGAGGGACGCTGCAAACCTTGGGCAGAGTGAGTCCTGGTGGGGCCTCCAGGTGGCTGGGGTCCAGGCCTGCTCTGCAGGAGGGGCCTCTGCTGTCCCTTCCGTGCAGTGATCCCTGGACAGCTCAGGGAGTGGGAGCTGGGTGGAGGGGCTGCTCAGCTGGCTGAGGGCTGACCGAGGGCTCTGTGTCTGTGTGCCCAGCTGCTCCCAGCTGGGGTTTCTCACCACGTTCCCCGGGAACACGACGCACAATGCCGTGTGCAGCCCCGGGCTGCTGCCTGATGAGCCCCCCAGCCTGCCGACTGTTGTCCTCCTGGCTGTCGCCATCTGCGTCCTGGCCCTGACCGTGGCCCAGCTGGGCCTGCACATCTGGCAGCTGAGGAGACAGACAATGTGGCCCCCAGGTCAGTTGTGCCCTGCGGTGGGGAGGGTGCCCCTGGCCTGCCTGCTGACCGCAGCCCTTCTGCAGAGACCCCGCTGCTCCTAGAGGCCCCGGCACCTGCACCTGAGGACGCCGGCAGCTGCCAGTTCCCTGAGGAAGAGCGGGGGGAGCGGCTGCCAGAGGACAAAGGCCGACCGGAGGACCTGTGGGTGTGAGGCCACTGTCCTCTGGCTCAGAGGGCCCCATGCCACACCCTCCCGGGAGCCGGCCCAGGCTGGCCCTCAGGAGCGAGGGCTCAGCGCCCGCTGTGGGGCCCTGGCTCTGGGCCCGGCCCTGCTCCCCTCGATGGCGGAAGCGGGTGGGGGATGGTGCCAGTGACTAGTGGCACAGACTGCAGAAGCAGCAGCAGCTGTGGCTGGACCCCAGGGGACACCAGACGCCACTTTCTTGCTGGCCCCACTGGGGTGGGGGCCGGGGCCCTTGGTTCCAGGACAGGAGGCTGTGGAACCACAGAACCTGGCTGCAGGCAGCACTCAATAAACTCTTGTCCAGTAACCTCAATGGACGTGTGTTGAGGGGAGGAGGGGACAGGCCCGGGGTCTCCCTCGTTAACACTCCAGTCCTAGGTGCAAGCGCTCAGCAGGGACCATGGAACTGGGGGGGGGGCGTGCTGTGCCGGACACCCACCCTCTGTGCCTCGGCTGCCCTGTCCAAACCCCTCTTCTGGCGGTCCACCTGACTCTCGCTGGGACAGTGAGGTCCTTGGTGTGTGTCTGGTCTCCAGACCACTGCTGCTCTGGACTCTGGTTCTGGGCTGGCCACACGTCCCACTGGCCTCTGTGGTGCACCTGCCTTTGCGTCATTGGGGCCCCAAATCCAGGGCAAGGTCAGTTTCTACACCCAACACTTCCTGGCGGATGAGGCAGATGCCGAGTGGCCTGGCTTGGCACAGCCCCCACCCTCTCTCCAAGCCCACCTGCTGGCCTCTACCACCTCACAGGACTATCTCCCCCTGGGCACGGTCCAGGGGTCCTACCCAGCAGAGGTGAGCAGTATTTTTCCTGCCTCCCGGCAGGGCTGACACCCAAAAAGCCTGATAAGGACTCTTTGGCATCCAGGGTGTGGCAGGCGGGCCAGTGGAGACCGGTCTCAGCAGCAGCACCCTCCAGGTGCCAGCACACCTGGCCACTTGCCTGCCTGTGGCCCCAGAGCTCTGCACCCGTCCCCACCAGGCCCTCCCCTCCCACCTGCGTGGCTACTTTGACTCACGGGCCTGCTCCCCATCCCAGGCCCAGTGGGTGGGTGGGCCTAGCTCACAGCAGACAGGTGGAGGAGAGAGGGACTCTGATTGCCCTTCACCCCACCCCTCATGGCACAGCCCACTTCTGCCACTGGAAGGAGGGGACTGGAGACTCCACAACTGCTCACATCCCTGAGCCCTTCTCCCCACCCCTGGGCTCCTGGCCCTGGGCACTCCCAAGGAGCCAAGCAAGTGACCTCAGGGGAGCCAGCCAAGAGGGCGTTATGGGACATCCCTTGGCCGACTTCTTTGGGACCTGCCTGCCACCCGCCTCAGCCCCTCCTCTGTGCAGGCCAGATCTCCTGTCCTGCCAACCCCTCATCCACCCGCCTTTGGGAAGGCTCTCCTTGGGGCTTGCTCTTGTCACCTGGGTCACTTGACTGCGACCCACAGTGTGGGAACTGGGTACCCAAGCCTGGCTCAGTCCCCAGCTGAGGCCTAGAGCCAGATCAGCGAGGGCCTCGTGGGCAGAGCGCGTTCCACTGACTCAGCGCGGAAAGTCCTCTGGAGGCCCCGTGTGGGACCAGCGCCAGAACAGAACGTCAGTGTGGGGGCGACGGGGCTGACACAGAGCTGGTGGGGGATTCCTACCCCTAGGGAGGACAGGGATGGGTTGGAGTGGCTGGGGGAGTTTAAGGCCAGGCCAAGATGGGATGGGTTGGGGCAGGGCGGGGGTGGGGTGGGGTAGGTGCCTGGCCCAGGGAGCTCAGTGCTTTGGGAGAGCTCTGGGGAGCCACTGCCAATCGGGATCCACCCTCTCCCTCCACGTACCCTCCCCCCCCCCCCCCGGCCAGAAATGCCTCTGCCCTACCAGGCCTGCCCCTTACCCTGTCGTTCCCGGCTCCATCTGCTCACTCCTGCTCTCCCTCCTGAGGCAGCCTCCTCCGAGTCCCCAGAATCCCAAAATGGATCACAAAGCTGGGCCTGGAGCAGTGGTGCCTCAGCTCAGAGCCCACAGAACAAGGAGGGGCGTGGCGAGGCTCGCTCGGTCAGGGGCGAGGCTGGAGGGTCAGGTGGAGCCCCCGGGCACAGGGTGCAGAGGCTGCCACCAGGGGTTTGGGGAGGGGCGGCCTGAGCAGACACAAGTTGGGAGGAAAGAAACTTGGCGGGCTTGTGGGGCAGTGCCCAGGGCAGTGGGAAGCGCAGGAGACCCAGGGGTGCTGGTGTGTGGGGACTGGAGGGGGCTGGTACTGTCGAGGGCTCCCATCCCCCCCCAACTGAGCCAACCTTCCTGGGATCGGGGCAGGTATGTGCCCACCCGGGACACCAAGCCCAGGAGAGACAGAAAGGCAAGACTGCGCAAGCCAGCTCCAGGCCTGGAAACCCCCACCCCACCGGAGAGGCTCTCCAGCTGGTCCGGAAAACCACAACTCCTCCCCCGGGTCGGAGTCCATGGTGTCTGTTCAGTCTCAGATAAGGGCCCAGAGGCCACCCTCTGTTCCCAGAAGTGCTTCCGGCCACAGCAGTGTCCCACCCAGCCCCATCCCCTCACCTTGCTGACCCTCCCTTTGCTGAGATCTGGACTTAGCCAGCGTGGGACCCCCCCCCTCAGCTGGACAGAGAGACCCATGGTGGGCATATGGAGGGGACTCACCTTGAAAAGAACTGGGCACCAGCCCCTCCCAGCCCCAGGGCAGCTTTAGGAGGCTGTCCAGAGGAGGGGGGCCCCTGACTGCCCCCAGGTGCTGGGATGTGAACCATTAATCAGATGTGTCCATGCTGCTAGGCCTGGCCACTCAGGGGCCCAGACCAGGATCTGGGACCGTCCCTCTCGCTCCCCTGCCCCCATGGTTTCCTGAGCATTCAAGAGCATGAGCACTCCTCCCGCAGCTGGGCTGAGCTCTGGGGTCAGGATGGGACTCCCTCCTGCAGGGACTGCCCCTTCAACTGTCCCCAGAGGGGTTTTCAGGGCCCTGGGCCCCCTCTTCCCATCGAGAAGTGGCTGTGCCTGGGGTGGAGAGGCAGACACCTCTCCAGGAAGTTTCAGGGGCTGAGGTGCTTTCCAGAGACAGTGATTCAGGCCATGGCTGTTTCAGACCCCTTTCTTGGAGACACATTCCAGAGGACAGGGACTGAGTGTGGCCCTGTGAGTCCTCAGGGCTGCGTGGGCTCTTTGACCAAAACAGACTCCTGACTGCCAGGGGCTGAGGGGGGCCCCCAGTGGGCTCCAAGGTGAGGGCCTCTAGATGGAGGCTGCAGGGATGTTGGGGGTCCCTGTGTGGTGCTGGGGTCAAAGCCAAAGACAAATTGATCCCTGAAACTTTCTGCAGGTGGACGGCACTGCTTGAGTTGTCCTCCCAGCCCGCTGGGTTCTAATAAGAACCCAGGACTCATCTCTGGAGGAGAGGGGGAGAGAGAGGGAGAGAGATTAAAGGGAGACGGGGTGTGAAGGGTGGGGAAGTGCGGAAGGGGGAGGGGAGACACTCAGCTTCTACCTTGGATCACAGTGTGGGCGCCCCGTCCTGGGTACCAGTGGAGGTGCCCGACCTCTGCTGTGCCGCTGTCCATCATTTGAATATTGGGGCACATCCTGACCTCCACATGCCCAGGTGCCCCATGGCCCACAGCACCCCAGACTCGGTCTCTTGCCCACCTCTACCTGGTGTCCTCATGGTTCTGGAAAGAACACTTTGGAGCCCGAATGTGGGCTGGGTAGGGCTGGGGGAGGATGCAGATTGGGGGGGAGGATGCAGATTAGGGGGTGAGGGGATGGGCCATCACCTCTGGGGATGAACAAACAGCAGGGAAACCCCATTTATTGACATTCAGACTGTTACGGGCATCAGGGGCCCACGAGTAGCAATAGTCCAGGCCTTTCGGGGAGCCCAGGCAGGGGGTACTTCTTGCCACATCACGGGTCCCCATGGGTCATTGCACCCACTCAGGGCCCAGGGGTAATGGAAGCAGCAGGGACAGCCTCTCCCTGAGGATCAGGTCATCTCTGTAAACGTCGCCTTGACCGGCTGCTGGAACCGAGGGAGCAGTCCCGCTGAGGCCGGGAGGAGACCTGGAACGTCCTGGAGCAGCACTGTTGTCACCATGGGCCACTTCGTGAGCCATTGGATGGCGTGGGAAGAAGCCCCATGGGCAGGATGTGTGGAAGGGAATGGAGAGGCCTGGGGACTGAGACATGAAGAACAGAGGCCCTGTGGGGTTATCAGGAGGTGACCCCGAGGTGACATGGCTGTGTAGCAGCCTGGATGCCAGCAGGAAACTTGGGCCTGACCCTGAAGACACAGATGTGGGTTTTACGAAGACCTGGGTGCATTCAGCCCACCCCTGTTGGAGGCTGGTCTTCCCCTCTCCCAGCCTTGGGCACCCAGCTCGCCTGTGGGCTGCAGAGGTGGCTGTGCTGAACTCGAGCTCTCACGGAGAGACCACTAGACACATGGGGAGGGAACTCAGGGCTCCTGAACCCCAGTCACTCAGTGACAAGTGTGCTTCTGGCCTGTGGACCCTACACTCCAGGCCACAGCAGCAGGACAATGAGGAGGGTGCAGTGGTGGGGGCGGGGTGGGGTGTGAGTGACAGGACAGATCCATCCCTGACCAGGGCCCCTTACTGGCTCTGTGACCTGGGGGGACTGGCTCTACCTCTCTGAGACCCAGTGCAGCTCACTTCTCTCTCCCGTGTTCCCTGGCCACACACCTCCAGCGGGCTGGCCCAAGACTGCCATGCACGCTGCCCTCTAGTGGTGCTGTGGCTGTCGCACTCCTGGGAAAGGAATGGTGGGCTGGCTGCTAGGGGAGGACGAGCCCTGTTGCCCCCAAGGTCCCGCCAGCCCTCCACTGTGGAGCAGAGTGGGGGTCTCAGCAGCCCTTCCCACCTCAGGTGGAGCCTGCTGAGATCCGGAGCGTGGGTGGGTAGGGCAGGAGGAGGACCTGTGACTTGGTGGTGACCTTTTGGAGAGGTGATGGCAGGACCCGTGAAAGGAAGTGCGGGTGGGGGCCTTGACAGCTGGTGTGGGCCCAGGGGTGGGGCTGCCCAGACCCTGAAGTCTAGACTGGGGTGGGTTTGGGTTGGCAGGGGTAAATGGGGGATGATAGCTGGCCCAGGACTCTTGGTGGCAGGGGGCGTGGACACACCCGAGGCCTTGAATCTCTCGGGGCTAAGCCCACGAGGAACACAGGGACGTGCTCACTCAGCACAGCCCTCAGGGCGAGGTCCTGCCATAGCCGTGTCACGCATAGCCTGGGTCTTCCAGGCCCCTACAGTGCCCTGCCTGTTGTCAAGTCACAGGCCATCGCAGGCGGTAGAGAGCTCAGAGTCCTTCCTCGTGCTCTGAAGTCCTGGAAGGGAGCTATGTCTGGGCAGGGCTGGGACCACCTGGGGTGCAGCCTCTTAGGAACAATCTCAGGTTTGAGGAAGCCCTCCTAAGGGGATCCAGAGGGTCCAGGCCCCTTCCTGGGGGACATCAGACAACTTTCTCTGGGATCTGAGCCAGGCAGTAGGGGTCACGTGGGTTGTGGGGCTGCAAGAGGGTCGGGATGACCAGGGACTTCGGTGAGGTATGGGAGGCCTGGAGCTGGTGAACTTCCCCAGACGCAGGCCGCCCATGGTGTGCAGAGTAAGGGACGCTGGGGCTCATCTCCCCTTCCTGCAGGCACTCTCATTCCTCGATCCCTGTGTCCCTGCAAGGACAGGTCCCAGCAGCGGAGTAGGGGCGCGTGGGGTGGAGGGAAGACCGTTGGGGTGCAGGGACTCAGCGAGCAGCGGAAGGGTCTTGGGGCCGAGTGGGCAGGAAGCCTGGGGCTTGTGGACGGCGTGCACGCGGACCCGCTGCAGAGGCCACATTTGTAACAAAGTAGCTTTTATAGGTCCCCACAAGGGCGCTGGTGGCCGGCCCACTAGGAGCCACGGTGGCCTTAGATCTTGCGCTCCTCCTCCGCCGACTCCGGAGAGGGCTCCCTCTCCGGGTCCCCGCAGCTCACTCCGCGCTGAGCGCTGCCGCGGGCCTTGGGGTC